CTCTACTGCTTCTCTCTCTCCTCATTCTCCTTCTTCTCCATCTCCCCCTCTGTCTCTCTCTCCATCTCCCCCTCCTCTCTCTCTCTCTCTCTCTCTGTCTCCCCTCCTGTGTCTCTCTCTCACTCACTCTTCATGTTTTGGGGTGCAGGGAGCTGGAGGAACGTCTGGCCCGGGAGGAACAGGAGCGGAAGCTGCAGGAGGAGTTGTTGAAGCAGAAAGAAGAAGAGGAGCTGAGGAAAAAGTTGAAGAGAGGAAAGAGCCGCAATTCCGGAAAAGAGGAGAAGGACGGAAAGAAGAGTCAAATTGGGAACAAGCAGGTACGGCTCCCCCCAGCCGGGGTATACGTCTCCCTCTAGCCGGGGTATGCGGCTCCCTCCAGCCGGGGTATACGTCTCCCTCTAGCCGGGGTATGCGGCTCCCTCCAGCCGGGGTATACGTCTCCCTCCAGCCGGGGTATGCGTCTCCCTCCAGCCGGGGTATGCGTCTCCCTCCAGCCGGGGTATGCCTCTCCCGCCAGCCGGGGTATACGTCTCCCTCCAGCCGGGGTATGCGGCTCCCTCCAGCCGGGGTATGCAGCTCCCTCCAGCCGGGGTATACGTCTCCCTCCAGCCGGGGTATACGGCTCCCTCCAGCCGGGGTATACGGCTCCCTCCAGCCGGGGTATACGGCTCCCTCCAGCCGGGGTATACGGCTCCCTCCAGCCGGGGTATACGGCTCCCTCCAGCCGGGGTATACGGCTCCCTCCAGCCGGGGTATACGGCTCCCTCCAGCCGGGGTATACGGCTCCCTCCAGCCGGGGTATACGGCTCCCTCCAGCCGGGGTATACGGCTCCCTCCAGCCGGGGTATACGGCTCCCTCCAGCCGGGGTATACGGCTCCCTCCAGCCGGGGTATACGGCTCCCTCCAGCCGGGGTATACGGCTCCCTCCAGCCGGGGTATACGGCTCCCTCCAGCCGGGGTATACGGCTCCCTCCAGCCGGGGTATACGGCTCCCTCCAGCCGGGGTATACGGCTCCCTCCAGCCGGGGTATACGGCTCCCTCCAGCCGGGGTATACGGCTCCCTCCAGCCGGGGTATACGGCTCCCTCCAGCCGGGGTATACGGCTCCCTCCAGCCGGGGTATACGGCTCCCTCCAGCCGGGGTATACGGCTCCCTCCAGCCGGGGTATACGGCTCCCTCCAGCCGGGGTATACGGCTCCCTCCAGCCGGGGTATACGGCTCCCTCCAGCCGGGGTATACGGCTCCCTCCAGCCGGGGTATACGGCTCCCTCCAGCCGGGGTATACGGCTCCCTCCAGCCGGGGTATACGGCTCCCTCCAGCCGGGGTATACGGCTCCCTCCAGCCGGGGTATACGGCTCCCTCCAGCCGGGGTATACGGCTCCCTCCAGCCGGGGTATACGGCTCCCTCCAGCCGGGGTATACGGCTCCCTCCAGCCGGGGTATACGGCTCCCTCCAGCCGGGGTATACGGCTCCCTCCAGCCGGGGTATACGGCTCCCTCCAGCCGGGGTATACGGCTCCCTCCAGCCGGGGTATACGGCTCCCTCCAGCCGGGGTATACGGCTCCCTCCAGCCGGGGTATACGGCTCCCTCCAGCCGGGGTATACGGCTCCCTCCAGCCGGGGTATACGGCTCCCTCCAGCCGGGGTATACGGCTCCCTCCAGCCGGGGTATACGGCTCCCTCCAGCCGGGGTATACGGCTCCCTCCAGCCGGGGTATGCGGCTCCCTCCAGCCGGGGTATGCGGCTCATGCGGTGAGGAGCAGAGCGGTCTGCGTATGCCTCGCGTGTATATAATGGGTACGTCTCTTGTCTCTCAGGCTACAAACACACTGACTGTGAAGTCGGAACATCTTTCGGACTTTGGGGTGGAGAGGAAAGTGTCAGTACTCAGATCAGACTCGGCGCTCAATGACCCAGAGGACACCAAGAAGAAGAGGAGTAAAGACGCACCCCAGCATGTGGTCGTGTCGGAGGACCCCGGGAACGATTCCCTCAGCGACAGCGAGAAGCAGCTGATTCAGAGATTCCGGAACTACGAGTCCTCCCAGAAGGAGATCTCCCACGTCCTCACTTTCTGGGACCGAGTACAGGGCATCCTTCTGCCACCTCCCCCTGCGGAGGATGGCCAGCGCGAGGGCGAAGACCCAGCTCCAGAGCGACACGCCCCCTCCGGGAGGAAGTGCCGGAAGGACCGCGAGCGGGAAAAGCAGGAAAAACTGGAGCGGGAGAAAGCTGAGAAAGAACGTCAAGTGAAGGAAAGGATGGAGAAGATGAAGAGTATGGAGGACGAGGCAGGACCATACCAAGGACCAGAGCAGGAAGGCCAGAAGGTTCAAGAAGAAGATCTGAAGGCTCTGAGGACAGAGGTGGGAATCCCTCACTACGACCTGCAAGTTACCAGAAACCACGAGTCCATGGAAGAGCAGATCCTACAGAGCGGGACATTGCCATCAGTGGAGGAGGTGAGGGCGCTGATATCATATACAAGGACCCGTTTCTGTATCCTCCAGACGATAGGTGGTGGTCACGTAGTCAATGAGGACACAGGAGGGGTCTATACTTCTAACCTCTCTGGTTATTTTTATCTTCTTCCTCCCACCAGATCCTGGAAGGCCTTGGCTTAGGTCCATCTGGTCCTCCAGTGCCGCCTCCACACATCTTCTCAGTTGTCCCATTACCAGACAGGAGGGGACCGTCTGCCGACCAGGAGACCCTCAGCCACTTCTCCTTCATAGCGGCCTCCCCAGACGACCCCAATGTGATTGCCGAAGAGAAGAAGGATGGAGAGGCCGAGCCAGACCCATCGTTGTCCATCCCGGCAAAGGTGAGAAGATGGTTCTGGTGCTGTGTGCCTTCGTGGTGGCAGACCAGTGGGGGATGTCCTGTGGAAACCTCTATGTGAGGGACATACAGAGTGTCTGAGAACGATTGTAGACGTGTCCGGTGCCCGGTGATATCTATCCGGGGATGTTGTGTCACCACAGGAGGAGCAGCTGACACCCACCAAGAGTCGCAGCCGGAAGGAGAAAGGTGGAGACACGGGCCGCGAGAGCCAGAAAGACAAGAGACGCTCAACTTCTCTACGTAAGAGCCAGCAGAACCAGGACAGCCGCTCCCCACCGCCGCCCGGTGCCAGGACACCCGTCTCTGACCAGGAGCTCAGCAGCCTGGCAGGAGAGGCCCAGCCAGAAAAAATACAAAGGTAAGAGTGGAGGAAGCCGTGCACAGGGGCCCCTGGCATTTCCTGGGATCATTCCAGCACAATACTCTACTGCTGAGGTGGTGCAGCTCATGGTGGGGGTTGGGGTGCACTTTGGCCCTTTTTCATCTCGGGGTGCTGAAGTGTCCTGGCACTGGTCCCCTATAGCAGCAGATTGTGACATCGGGTGGATCAGATGTCCCTGTACAGTAATATTCACTGTATGGGTGAATGTGCCGTATGTCATCGGTGAATGGTGGCCGCTGTCCCCCGGCAGCAGAGTCTACATAACCGTCACATCTTCTGTCTCCAGTCTAGGACTGTTCCGCTGGGTGGTGCCGGCTGGAGGACAAGTTCTGCTTCGGATCCATTACCAGTCCAGCAGTGTTGGCAACTTTGACCAAACCCTCAACTTTGAGCTTGTTGGGACCCGGCGCAGGTACCAGCTCTACTGCCGCGGCGTCTGTTCCTTTCCTACCATCAGCCAGGACCCCAAGTAAGTGTCAAAGCGCAGGACTCCGAGCCCCCCAAATGTTCTCATCCACACACATCAACCTTCACATCATCCTTCATGTCCTCCCCTTCAGTCTTCTATCTGACCTCCGTCCTCCCCTTCAGTCTTCTATCTGACCTCCGGCCTCCCCTTCCGTCTTCTATCTGACCTCCGGCCTCCCCTTCCGTCTTCTATCTGACCTCCGTCCTTCCCTTCAGTCTTCTATCTGACCTCCGTCCTCCCCTCCAGGTCTTCTATCTGACCTCCGTCCTCCCCTTCCGTCTTCTATCTGACCTCCGTCCTCCCCTTCAGTCTTCTATCTGACCTCCGTCCTCCCCTCAGTCTTCTGTCTGACCTCCGTCCTCCCCTCAGTCTTCTGTCTGACCTCCGTCCTTCCCTTCAGTCTTGCACAGTTGTACCGGCTCCTCTCCTCTACTTCAGGCACATGTCTGTATAATTACTGTACATTGCTCTGGTACATGTTTGAGACATACTCCATGCGGTGCCATCGCCTATCACAGACACTTTGCTGCTCTGGTGTTTCAGGATTGTTTTCCCTCATCGTAAGAAAGGCACCAAAAGTCATGAGATCGTGCAGAAGAAGTTCCTCCTGAGCAGCGGCACGTTTGATTTTGGGCCTCTGCTGTGCGGGAAGAGTCGGGAGAAGTGAGTAGACGAGATTGCCGCATCTGACTCCTGATTGGGTGGTTACGTAGTCACAGGCCCGGGGTGGGGGCCCTATGGCAGCGTTGCGGCCCTACGGTGGGATGAGTCGGGAGAAGTGAGTAGACGAGATTGCCGCATCTGACTCCTGATTGGGTGGTTACGTAGTCACAGGCCCGGGGTGGGGGCCCTATGGCAGCGTTGCGGCCCTACGGTGGGATGAGTCGGGAGAAGTGAGTAGACGAGATTGCCGCATCTGACTCCTGATTGGGTGGTTACGTAGTCACAGGCCCGGGGTGGGGGCCCTATGGCAGCGTTGCGGCCCTACGGTGGGATGAGTCGGGAGAAGTGAGTAGACGAGATTGCCGCATCTGACTCCTGATTGGGTGGTTACGTAGTCACAGGCCCGGGGTGGGGGCCCTATGGCAGCGTTGCGGCCCTACGGTGGGATGAGTCGGGAGAAGTGAGTAGACGAGATTGCCGCATCTGACTCCTGATTGGGTGGTTAGGTAGTCACAGGCCCGGGGTGGGGGCCCTATGGCAGCGTTGCGGCCCTACGGTGGGTTGTATATGATATGAGGCTCCTAGCACTGATTGATGGACTGTGATCTCTGCTGCCCCCTGCAGGTACAAAGCGGGACAATACCCAGAGAACGCGGAGAGGCTCGCCATCTACAACGTGTCACCTATGGAATCCGAGGTGACTTTCTGCTTCCAGCACGACGTCAAAGCCGCCACCTTCATACTGGATCCCCCGAGCATGACGCTGAGACCGGACCAGAAGCAGGTCCATATGATATTCCCCCGATATATGTGTTATACCCTCACCACCCCTGCGCTATACGTGTTGTTCCCGGGATTGCAGCATGTGACTCCTCCGCTCCGTGTCTTCCCTTCCAGGAGCTCTCCGTGTGGGCGTACCCGACCGCCCCGGCATTGTACGAGGATAATATCGTGTGCTGCATCAAGGACAACCCCGAGCCCGTCATATTCCGCTTGTGCTGCCGCGGCGTGCGCCCGGAACTGGAACTGGACCGCAAGCAAGTTCACTTTGAGAAAGTCCTGCTGCATCGGTAAGAGAGATTCAGGGCTGAGGACCCCGGCGTCGGGGGCCCCCCGAAGTTACCGTGCCGGAGACTCTTATTACTGATCATGGCTTTTCTACATGAGGGACACAAACATTCAGAAACGGGTCGGGTTATACTGCCGCCTCCAGGAGGCTGGGACGCTGGCAAACAGAAGCATTGCTAGCCAACCCTCGTGTTACCCCCTCCCCCACCCCTCTACCCAGCATGGCTCAGCTATTGGCTGGTTGACTGGACTATTGATTGGCCGCTCCTCCGTGCGTCTGCAATCATGGTTCCTCCCTCCATTGGTCTCCAGATCCGTGTGTCCTCAGCACAAGCTTTGGGACGGCGCATGTGTGGCTAGCCTGCAGTGTGACCTCCAGTCATGTGATCATGTCCAGCCATCGTGCATAGGTTACCAGCGGCATGCGTGTTGCACGTGGATTCTGCACGGCACATTCTCATTCTCCGATTTACACCTATTACAGGAAAGACACCAAAACCATCTTCCTGAGGAACAGCACTTACCTGCCGGCAGCCTGGCGTGTGACGGGCCTGGAGAGTCTGGGCGACGACTTCTCCGTGTCCCAGGATCAGGGCATTGTGGCCCCCCGGTCAGAGTACGGATTACAGCTCCACTTCAAGGCCGCCAAAGCCTCCAACGTCAAGAAGTTAATTCGCCTGGAGGTATTGGAGCCCACTGATTGCCTGAACTCTCCTGTGTACTCTGTGTGCAGGGGGGGGGGGGGGGGGGGGTTTTTT